AGCCATTTTAGGTAGGTGTGGCTGACTCTGAATTTTATAAAGAATATCTCTTTGGATTTGAGACTTTAGTCTTTGCAACTTTACAGATCTTCTTTATGCACCAAGAGCTTGTAACACTCCAAAGAGAAAGGAAAAATTTAAATCGCATCATATGACCCCTTTAAGGCAAGAAGTAGGACCAGTGTAAATATCGGATCAGCTTTCAAGGGCTGGAGAAAACTCAAGGAGCAGAAGGCCTGCGATCGGACGCCGAGGTTGCTTTGTTTCACAGAACTAATCGTTGCCTGGGTTGCGTATGTATGTGTGGGGTGGAGCTATCAAAATAGGGGCAATTTTGGGGTAGGGGTGTGTTTGTTTTGCTGATTTCAAATGTCAATATTGGCTACCAGAAATCACTTACCCCACCTTTAAATGTATTAGATGTCTGAATTATTCAAGAGATTCATTCAAAAACTCTGGACGAAACAAGTCTTCCTTTTTTTTTCCAAATGATTTTTTAGCTACATAATGAATTCATTTAAATTAATAAATATTTTTACATTTATACCATTTTAGACATTTAACATTTTGTCAGAAACTCAAATTACATATTTTGTTTGGTTGTCTGCTTGTTTTCAGAATCGTGGGAGAATCATAGCATAAAAATACATAGGCTAACATATCTGACATCTAACTAATACCATTAGTACTGTTTATTGCCTATGTTACATGTCACTATGTATGTATTATGTAGTTCTGCAACCAACCAACCAACCAACCCCCCACCCCCCACTCCCTCTTCTTTTGGTTCGTTCCGCTATCCATGCGTGCCATAAACCAATCAGAGTCTCATCTCCCATTCCCATTAAAAGCCAGTTGCGCTCAGCGGATTCGCTATTTACATGACGGAATTTGCAAGCGGAAAAACTGAACGCTTCTCTAGTGAGGGAACGGATCTGCTCGTGCGTGTAATTCTGATACATGGAAAGACTATCCATTATGACATTATGAAATTTTGTAAATTGAATGAATCATTTTTTTGTGCGCGCGTTGCGCACCCGCCTATAGGCACATATTACTAACGCGCTCTTTAAATAACAAATATATATATATATATTGAGCCAGACTTTAGACCAGGTTTTTGTTGGTCAGAGGCGCAGTCTTTTAGTTGCCTCAAAATAGCAACGTGCCAGCAATGCACCTGAACACACCTCGTTTTCAGACCGGCACATGGGCGCAAATGCATTTGCTATTTAAAGAAAGTGTGGCGCAGCAGGACGTGAAAATGATGGTCGCCGTGATTTTGCCAAGTAAGACATGTTCCTGGATCAACATCTTTTGTTGATCCTGGATCAACATTACTGTCCAAAAATACACACTTAATCCAATCCCTATCCCTAAACCTAACCTTACCCATACTTTATTTCTAAAGTCAGAGGGAAATGATAGCTGATTAACAAGGGTGAAGAAGCACCTAATTCTGATTGTAAGCCTAACACTGACATTTCCTGGAAAGTTATCTCTCAATTCTGATTGGTTGATTGGAATGATGTTCCAGGATCAACAAGGATGTTGATTCAGGAACATGTTGTACTTGGTCAAATCACGGTCACCTGAAAAGGATAAGTGCGTCGGGCTGAAACTAGCAAAAAACACTTGTGTCGCATTGCGCCGGGTGTATGATAGGGCCCAAAGTCATCTAATGTCATTACATAAATAACAGTATTGTTATTGTTGTCATTACTGCTGTGAATGGCTCTCACAAACTGAGGGAAAATTTGACCAAAAACAAGACCAACTGGATTGTGCAATCAGCTATAACCTGATGAGCAACAGTGAGACAAACCCATCATTGAAAATTAAGTGTGTTGTTCTGGGAAAGTCACACTATACAGATCCAGTTTCTGGAAACATGAATCTGCAGACAAGTACCATATATTGTGTGAGATAAAAATAAAGAAATAAACAAACACTATGGCCATCATGAAAAAAACACAATGAAAAGAAATCAACAAAGATAACATTACAAGCACACATTGCAGTGTTATTTACAGATGTTATTCTGAATATAATTGTATTTTGCTTTTACTGCACTGCCATTTTTTCACTTGTTTTAGCTATAAACAACTTTAAAAAAAAAAAAAAATGTATAGTTTTGTTTCTTTTACAGTTTTATCAGTTTGCTTATTTACTTTTTGAAGAAGAAGAAGAAGATTTTTTTAAACCATTTTAATCTTTCTGTTCGATAGTCCACAAAATCTGTTCAGGACCAACTGGATTGTGCAATCAGCTATAATCTGATGAGCAACAGTGAGACAAACCCATCATTTTTTTTGGTGACTGTCCATAAACCTGAATAACCAGTATCATGGCCAAGGCAACCTAACCTGAAAGGCCAAGCCCACCATTGCTCAGATATATTAACTTTAGTACAAACAGAATTTTACTTCCATGCATACAGTACTTTGTGTATCACGATTAACTATTTAATATTACTATTAAATGATGTTAAGCTCAACTATCAGGGTTCTACCTTGACATTAAACCCAATCTGTTGAATGATGTCATCTGTTGAATGATGAATGATGTGAAGTGTTTGGCATTCAGTCACACCCAAAACCTGGCTGATACCTACCATTGTGCCCTGTGCCTTGTGTTATATCACAAATTGGAAATATGTACTTAAACTCATGTCGTGATTTTCATTCCTCTGAATGTACTGTCACTCTTTCCCATACAACTGCAATCAATTGGCCCAAAATCTGTTGTGTTGGTTGTGTGGTTTACATTTCTGTGACTTCAAAGTCAAAGTCTGGCAATCTGCACTTGGTCTTCCCAACAGGAAGACACTGACACGGATATGGAAACCTGAGACATAAGACAGAGACAGACTGGCCCAGTTGCACAACAACAAAAGAATCAGTTGTGATGTCAACTAAGCATTGCACTCAGTCAACACTTGCTTTATTATTTCTAAACGTTTACTTGAATTTGTTCGCTGCACTGAACTGTACATGTCAAACACCAAATTAATTTTCAACACTGAAGATAAAAAAGATTGCGGGCCTTTCACTTCTGATAAATGTGACAACAAAGAAAAAAATAAAGAAACAAAGCAATTGTTTAAAATACAGTCTGTAACCCTGAGTAAATACTTTTACTGTATACTTCCAGCTTTCTCATCGATAGTCGCCACATTGCTTCACAGCTCATTTTCGTCAAGCTAAACTCTTCAACCTTGTTGCGTCACCGATAGCCAATGGATATCACCTACTGTCAATGAAAATGAGTGATGCCAGTCTGATAGTATGGATGTTCTGCGAGATAAATGTGAAACTGTCAAAGAAAAACATTTTTAGACACACACCTGAACTATAGTCAATCAAGGTCTGCGGGTTTACCCATCAATAACACAAAGCCAACATGTCATGAGGATGGAGATGTGGTTAAACCCAAATCTAACACACCTCACTGAAAAAAATAATATGTAGTGTTGTAAAATATATTAAATTAACCATCATAAGGACTACTTGTAATATTAAAATTCAAAGAGAACAACAATTTGTACACATTGAATTCTTGTGATTAATGAACTGCGTGGGAAGAGTAACTCTTATTAATATATACTTTTAGTATTTACATGTTTTATAGTCATTGCACATACATCTAAAAATATTGAGTAAATTTTAATCTAATCCGCGCATCTGTGTTATGACCCGGTCTTTGAATCAGGGCGGGACGGTTGGGCTTGTCATGGAGGTGATGCATGGCTGGATTTTCTCGTGTTTAAGGTAAGTTTGCCTTTCTGTTTCAGATTTCTGATTTGTCATACATTGGTCCGTGTGCATTTCGATAGTTTGATTCTTGTTTACTTGACTCATTATACATTAACGTTCATGGGTCATTCCTGGTATCCAGTAACATTTTGGCTTCATAATTTTTGGGAAAAAAGGTACATGATTTTAGCATTCTACCAAAATAGTGGCATGTTAACCACTAGAAATACATATCAAGCTCAGGGACTCAAAAGATAATAATTATGGGTAGATTGTTCAGACACTGGCTGTGAAAGTATACCACTCTGTTAGGGACACATACCTAGTTATCACAAAATGTTAATAATGTAAATGTTAAACAATGAGCTTTTCTTGGATAGTATATGCCCCTTATGCCATAATAGTATTTTCTATTCTTGAAACAATAACAAAACAATTATTGATGAATAGAATATATCTTGATTATTAAGAACAGGTACTTTTTGTGCCCATTTTTGCCAACAGGATGGTAAATAATACAAATGTTTTGCTCAAAAACATATATATGCTGTTAATGCTCCTCACCTCACAAAATAAAACAAAAGTATGCCAAACATTTAATGTTGCTGTCAAATTATTATTATTTAAAATGACTACAGGTAAAATGATAACAGGGTGCATAACAGGGTGTAACACCAGTGTTGTGATGGTATTCAACTTAATTGAACATTTAAGTGTAAAGCCTCTCGTGCAAGTCCAGTCTTGTCAGTTAAATCTTTTCTTTTACTCAAGCGATCTGTAATTTGTTGTATATAACATTGTTGTTATTTTATGTATTCTTCACCGCATAATATGGGGAGGAAGACAGACTGATGGTTTTTATGTTGGATGCAGTTTTGGTTATATCTAGCTCTGACAGGTTAAAGCCTCATCTTTTTCTGTTCGTTAGGTTATTGTCTTTCTATATTTTATACATCCTGAAGTCAAAACTGTGTATGGTGCAGCAAATGCAGTTCATGTTGGTAATGGAGATTGAATTGTATTACAGCAGTGGTTCCCAACCCTGGTCCTGGAGGCACCCCAACACTGCGCATTTTGCATGTCTCCTTTCTCTGACACACCAATTTCAGATCTTGGAGTCTCTACTAATCAGCTGATGACCTGAATCAGGTGTGTTTCATTAAGGAGACATGCAAAACGTGTAGTGTTGGGGTGCCTCCAGGACCAGGGTTGGGAACCACTGTATTACAGAACAGCAGACACCAAGTAGCATTCAGTCATACTTTATTTTTTATCTTTTCAATAGACCAATTATTACCATTCTAAACCAGTGGAGATATGCATGTTTTGTTGATTAATGCCATGACACTTTTTTACTGAATGCACCTTTAAAACCTTGTGTCCAGACTTTACTAGGTCATGTGAATGTGACTGACTCACTTTTATTTATGTTGGAAAAATGAACAGTTTAATTGTATTTTAGTTGTGCGATTTCTGATAAAGGTATAAACCAGTAAAATTACTTAAAATGTGTTTTTAGAAGATTTACTTCTCGTAAAAATTTGCTCTAACATATTTTAAGTAAATTTTATTGCTCTAATATCAACAAGTTCTGTCAAAATCAATGAATCGTGTGCATTTATTATTGGTTTGTGCTGAGAAAATGAGTGTTATCATAAATAAAACAAATGAGCATATTATTATTTACATGTATTTCTTCAAGGACAAACATCTTCACTTAATTACCAGGTCATCCAAGCAATGATTAATTATTAAAATACTTTCACCAAAATGGTTACAAAATCTAATATCAAAAGTGACAGTTTGTATATAAATATATATATATATATAAAAGAATCTATTTCATAAACTTTGTAGTCAGTGTCTGGTGATGTAAGAATACCTGAGGTGACATTAACTGAAGTACCAATTATAGAGATCATGAGCTTCTTTATATTCCCTGCGTCGTGCGATATAGTCACAGGCAGTGCAAATAGCCAGAATAAACTCTTGTCTCTGCAATATTAAATGAGGACTTGGAGTGAGATGTTTCCTCCAGTTAAAGTACTTGCGATATGCATCTTCATCCTTGTCCAGCTGAAGCAGATATTCGGCTAGTGACTTTGGATCTGGGAAGTCATCGACATGAATGAAGGACTCGGCAGGAACAAAGTTCTCATAGTTTCTTCTCAGAGGACCCAACACCACAGGGACGGTACCTGCCGCGAGTGGCCCATTTAACTTCTCAGTGATGTAGTCTTTGTGGATGGAGTTCTCAAAGGCAAGGTAAAATTTGCAACTAGCCATGGTTGGATAGTAGTCGTCGTAACCCAGAAACCTTGAATAAGCCTTTCCGAACAAAATCACTTGGATGTATTTGCTGAATTCCCTGTAAAAAACGTTCCTTGTGTCAACACCAGTTGATGGATCCTTGTTACTTACAATCCAACACACCAGTTTGTCCTTTTTGGGAATTACAAAATCCTCATTAGGTTTTTTCCTGGTGATCAAGCGCATCCGTACAGGAATATCAGCATCCTGTCTGTAGCTGAGAGTGAGATTGAACAGGTTTTCCAGACCTGGGATCCTTTTGGTGTTGGTTGGTGATTCCAAATGCAACCAAATCCACCTTTGGAACGGAGGACGAGGAGATGGAGGAAGGTTGGACAGATCAGTGATGGCTCTATGATAAACAATGACATTATCTGCACTGTTGTAGAGAGCTCTATCATCCGTCAGTTGACAACTATCAATATTGTAAAACTTTTTGCAGTCACTGAAATCAAACCTATAATTTTCAGGCCAAACCCATAACAGAAGTACAGGTTTCTCCTCTGCTTTATCAGTAAGAGAGTTGCTAGTCTTGGCATATTGGACTGGTCTAAAAACTGGAGGTGGACATTTGTTTGAAGGCGAGAACCAGAAAAACACAACGCCCAGAGAGATGACACCTGCCAACGTCACTATTACACCCAGACGTAACAGCGATGGGCCATTTGTGTTTGACATTTTTGATCTAAAGAGGTAGAAAAAAAACGTTTATTCACTTTTACAAACAAGAATTAAAAGAAATGCTTCAATAAAAACACTGTAGAATCAGTTCACACTTTTGTGTGAGACAAAAGCTACCAAAGTGAAAGTTAATCATTGTCTTGTAACAAAATATAAAATTTTAACTTTGACCACTTTATTCTGGTAAAATTATATTCAAATTTCGTTTTTTGAAACAAAGTATTTAATTCACTTCCTCACCTGATTAAAGAAGAAATCAAATCTGCTATTTGGTGTCCCATATAAAGCCGATGTCTGATGATTACTCTAAATAGACAGAAACATGGAAGAGAGTTTCTTCAAAGCATGATTCCCGAGCTTAAAGAAAGAATAAAAAACTGTGTTGTTTTGTGATTTGCCACACCTGGAGGAAGTGCCAATGACTGAGAAGAGACATGACATGGACCAATCACAATTCAGTATGCAAATATCACTATGACACCAACCCTTCCAGTTAGTCCTCTAAACAAACAAACACACCTGAACCAGTTCATGAAGATTCACCATCTGCAAGCAGCAAGTATCCTGGTTAAAGCACTGTATCCTAATAAAACATGTTGCCTTAAACATGAGTCAAATAGAAGACTATAAGTTAATTATTGTATAAATATACACAGAAGCAGCATGTTTAAACATCATTTAGAACTTTTGGCCAGCAGGTGGCGTTTGCAGTACCCGCATGACATGAGATAACCAATCATAAACGAATTTCAAGGAATAATATAAAACTAAAGCAAAGCTACAAGTCTGAACATGTTCTGGTTCCAGTGTGAGGTTCATTTTAGAAATTCCATTCAAATTAAATATACAGACACACTACACTGTTTTATTATAAACATGATATAAAATATTTGGGAATAATTATATATTTTTTTAAATAATTATTATTACTATAAAAAGGGTAGCCTATAATAATCATTATTACACAGTTATAATAAAACATATCAATATAATAGATATTTATCAGAAAAAAAAAACATTTTAACTGTTTTATATTTTTGCTGCCACATGCTGTATTATGAAAGAACTAAATTATATATAAAATTAAATTTAAATGATCAAATTATACTGTAGGTCACACAAATATAGCTGTTTACCAAATACTTTTAAAGAAAAGAAACAGCAAAATATTTTCCCTACAGTATATTTGTTTTTGAGAATTAAAAAAAAATCATGAATCCAACAAACTAACACTTCTAACAATGCTGCAGCTAAGATTGTGAGCCTTTGCTCTTATTTATATTACGTTATGTATGCTATTTCATATTTTATTTTACAATATATTATATACATATTTTTGAAATTATCATCTTGTTGAAGTGCAGCAATCGTACGGTCCCAGATCCGAATACCAATCCCAGGTTGGATCAGGACAGGGAGAAAGGTTGGACAGATCCTAACTGACAGACTTACAATAAATAAACACGTCATCAAGGTGTTGGTATTTCAGTTTCATTTCCATTGAACTTTAATGTAAACATGAAACGTGAATTCTAAACAGTCATTCTAAGTCACGCTAAACAGAGTGTCATTCTTGAATTTTACAAAAGAAAACATTGTATAATGCTACCTGTTGTTAGTGCAGGTCATTGTTTTATGAGTGACAAAGTGTGTTTGCGTTGTTAGTGTTATGAAGGAAGAATGAGTTGATTTGAGAATGAATTGAGAAATCATGTTTAATTCAGCAGTTTAAACTGACCATCTGCTTTGAAACTTTGCACAGCTTTATTGGTTTGTTTTATAATGTAATGTTCCTTTCATTGCACAGGGTAAAACCAGTGTTGGGGAAGCTACTCTGAAACTGTAGCTTTACCAGCTACAAGCTACTCATAAATTAAAGTAGTTAAGCTACATTCAAGCTACCCTTTTGAAAAAGTAGTTAGCTACACTACAAGTTACTGTCAAAAAGTAGCTAGCTACATTGAAACTACTTTCAAATTTATTTTTTTTGTACAATTAACTACAAATAACTAAATCATTATTAATGAAGAATTATAATGAGGTTATAAGTAAAATATAATTAAGTTATAAGTAAAATATTTGGGGTTTAAAACAACATACTGTAATGCAATCATGATTTCAAAGAGTAGGGTGAATTCAGGTTGATTGGGACACTTTTCCAAGCCATTTCAAAAAGTGTCCCAAACATTTGATTTTGTAAACTATTCGATACACACAATAATAAAATACTGTATAGTTAAATAGTTATTTTAGTTATATTAGTATATTGCTACAATTGTAATACCAATGTAAGAACAAAATGTATGCAACTTAAACTGGATACGGAGGAGTCATAAAATAAGCAGGTTAAACTCACAGCTCATGCAGTATTTACTGAGTGTGAATGGAAACACTCTGAGACAGTGACGCGGGAAGTAGGGGTGCTGAGGGGGCTGCAGCACCCCCTATTTTCACATGGTTGCAAATGCAATGCTAAGTTTGTTCATTTAAATTTATTCAGTTTTAGCATTTAATAATTTATTTGTAATGATCTCTGAAATGTAAATTGTAAGTGGGCTATAATAAACCCATGTTTATCTTTATAAACATGATTAATTTTACTTGTGATGTTTTCTATATGGGATGATTAGCCTAATCCTCATGAACACGTGACGCTAGCACGTGGTATCAGACATGAACTGTACAGAATGCGAACAAGATTAACTTTAATACAAGGAGAATGGCGCAAAAGCGAATTTCAGATTTTTTTAAATGCCCATCCCAGCAAAAACTTTCCAAAATCGGCATCCAAGCAACACCAGCCCCAGCACGAGCAGCGACGTAAGTGAACCCCCGCCCCCCCTTTCACCCAACATGGACACACACAGCACCCCCAACCGAAAACATCTTCCCGTGCCCCTGCTCTGAGATGTCAATCATCAGCTGTGCACGTCAACACTGCTTTTTTCGTGAATCCCGCCGCAGCCATATTTTGCCAAATGATAAGCACACTACTATGTCGCGATTTTATTTTCTGTTCGATTAGTGTTCATTACAAAACTGTGGGGGGACAGATTATATTATGACCGTTCATCATTGTAAAATAGACATCTGATCTAGAGTGCAATAAAGAAGAAAAATTAACCAGTTTAAAAAGGCTATTATTCACCTCCTGTATGTGCTTTGTCTTCGACGTAGACTGCATTTTAATCTTTGTTTTGTGTAATTTACATTGATTCATGTGAAATATCCACTCCTGTACATCCTTTGCAATATCATCAGACGATCTCTTGTCGGTGGAAAGACTGTAAAGCCGCACGATGCGTGATATCGCCACAGATGGCAGTAATGAACAAATTTAGTTTTGATTCATGTGAAATATCCACTCCTGTACATCCTTTGCAATATCATCAGACGATCTCTTGTCGGTGGAAAGACTGTAAAGCCGCGCGATGCGTGATATCGCCACAGATGGCGGTAATGAACAAATTTAGTTTGTGATCTAGTCAGAAGAAGACGCTGGCTCGTGACTCGTCAGAACGCAAAACGGAATGTAGCTTTGGTCGCGCTACACCGCTACTTGCTGGAAAAAGTAGTTAGCTTCAGGAAAAGCTACACTGTTTTAAAAGTAGCGTAGCTACTGTAAAGCTACTGAAAAATGTAGTTAAGCTAGTAGCGTCGCTACTTGTATCTAGCTACTCCCCAACACTGGGTAAAACAGGCTTAGGCTTACCTTGGTAGGCTATATGGTAATACAGGATATGATGAGAAACAGTGTATTGAATTTTATACTGGTTTAAGGAGGGAAACTTGAGAAGAACAGATCCAAAATCAAAACCCTAACAAATTAAACAGCCCTAAATTATGCAGTAGTTCAGCAGTTCTCAACCTTTTGTTGGTTCTCAACCAACATGAAGTAAAAAGCGCATGCGCGATCGTGCATGCAGCCTGTTGCCATTGCTCCTGTGTTGTTGTTGTTTTTTTTTATTCTGTTCTATTAACTTTATTAGTGCGGTCTTTTCTTATTGTATTTTTTTGTGAGCTCTTTGAAGTTGTGCCCTTTCAAGGATGCAGGTGGAGAAAGTTTTAACAACCTTTTTACCGTACCGGAGTTCCCACGTTCAACACCTGTTGGATACGCTGCTCGGATTGTTTACTTCCGGCATCAGCTGATCGATCTAAAGCCGGCCAGTTTAGCGATTCGACCAGCTGATTTACCTACTGAAATCTGGAGGAAAACTCATAGCGGATATAGGGGAGGAACAAGACAACGGGGGAAGAGAGCTGGGCTGAGACGGGAGTGAAATCGCATCATATGACCCCTGTAAGTGGTCTAAATGTATTTATCTGTATTTATATATTCTGTAGAAGGCGTAGGACCAAGAAATGTTCGTCCGAGCTTTTTAATATGCTTTTCCTACCTGCCTGTCAATGTATGTATTAGCATACCTCTGCACACCCTGTTTGCGCAGACAGTATACGTCATCAGGGCGTTCACGCATGCTGTGCAGACAGAGCGAGGATGGCAGACAAACCTCAACAACCCGATCTTCCTTCCTGGTATTGTAGTACTTTTAAAGTTTTCTCACCGGTGAATGACACATGATTCCCAATTCCTGTCCTCGTGCCCCCCAGCTCTGCATATTTTGCATGTCTCGCTTAGTTAACACACCCGATTCAGATAACCAGCTCGTTAGAAGTGAGCTACGTGCATGAACTGTTCCGATCGATATGATCCCTACACAGTGTTCATTGCTCCCTACTCTCTGAGCAGGGGAAATCCATTGTAAACTTCACTTCAGAACATTCATTCACGGATTTACACACATCACACTCACACACACACGTCTTCACATCCAGTGCGAGGACTGGAATTGGGAACCACTGATGTAGCCTATTGTAGTAATGTTGTCTCTGGTATTCCGGTCTGTGAGCGTATATGCGTTCAGGGGGCGTGGCTTTGGACGGCGATTGCAGGGAGGGTGGGACGATCGCTTTCAGTGCTTTCAGGCTAAAGTTAGCATTTTCCAAGATCTCCTACTGTACCTTTAAGGAGAAGAGGAGATTCAAGCCGAGTCTCCCCTCTCTTATTATGGGCAATGTGAGATCGCTAGCTAATAAGACGGAGGAGCTGACAGGGCTAGTCAGAAGCCAGATGGAGTACCGGGAATGCAGTATCATGTGCTTCACGGAGACATGGTTACATCAGGACATACCGGATCAGAACGTCCCCATCAAGGGCTTTCAGACGGTTCGGGCCGACCGCCCTGTTGAAAAAAACAGCATATGCTGTTTAGGTAGGTTTTGAAGCTTGGATGCTGATTTGAGCTGGTTTAAGCTGGTCCTTAGCTGGTCATGAGCTGGTCCTAA